CACCCCGGGGCGCGGAGGCCGGGGACCCGCTGACAGAGCCGCTGGACGAGTGACAGGCCCACGCTGCCGGCCAAAGCAAAGGTCTCCGGAGAGACGCCACTCAGCTCCGATGTCACAGGGGAAGTCGTGAATGAGTTCAAAATCCAAAGTCACAGAATTCACCGGGGACAGGGCACGTGGCACCTGCCAGTGGGAGCACGGAGGGAGGCAGCACAGCCCCGCCCGCACCCGCCTCGCACGGAGCTGTCAGCGAAAAACGACGGTGCGAGATCTAGTCCTGTATTTGCTTGTGTGTTTGTTTCTCTTGCTAATCCTCACCCAAGGACACCTTTTCTGTGGATTGTTTAGACCAGCGGTTCTCAACCTTCTGGCCCTTTAAATGCAGTTCCTCATGTTGGGACCCAATCATAACATTATTTCCGTGGCTAATTCATCACTGTCATGTTGCTACTGTTATGAATAGTCATGTCAATATCTGATATGTAGGATGGTCTTAGGCAACCCCTGTGAAAGGGTCATTTGACCGCCAAAGGGTCGCGACCCACAGGTTGAGAACGTCTGGTTTAGAGAGAGAGTGGAAGGGAAGGCGGGAGGGGGGGAGAGAGAGAGAGAGAGAGAGAAATCGATGTGAGAGAGACACATGGATTGGTTGCCTCCTACACTTGCCCCCACTGGGGCTGGGGATCGAACCTGCAACCCAGATACATGCTCTTGACTAGGAATCGAACCTGTGACCTCTCTGTGCCTTGGCCGATGCTCTAACCACAGAGCCACGCTGGCCAGAGCTCAAGATCTTTCAAAAAAAATTGTGATCAAATACACACACCATGAAATGTGCCATCTTAGCCCTGGCCAGTGTGACTGAGTTGGTTAGAGCATCAGCAGGTACACTGAAAGGTCACGGGTTCGATTCCCTGTCAGGACACATACTCAGGTCTCGGGTGTGAATCCCTGTGGGGGGAGGTACAGGAGGCTGCTCAGTGTTTCTCTCTCACATCGATGTCTCTCTCTCTCTTCCTAAAATCAATAAAAGCATATCGCCAGGCGAGGATTAAAAATAATATGATCAGCCCAGCTGGTGTGGCTCGGAGATTGAGAGTCGACCTACGAACCAGGAGGTCACGGTTGGTTCAATTCCCAGTCAGGCACATGCCCAGGTTGTGGGCTCGATCCCCAGTAGGGGGTGTGCAGGAGGCAGCTGATCAATGATTCTCTCTCAGCATTGATGTTTCTTCTATCTCTCCCTCTCCCTTCCTCTCTGAAATCAATAAAAATATGCAATTTTTTTAAAAGCGGACTTGAAAACACTGCTTAGTTAGTGAGTTAGTTAATCCTCACCCGAGGATATTTTTAAATTGATTTTTTAAAAAAATATATTTTATTGATTTTTTTACAGAGAGGAAGGGAGAGGGATAGAGAGTTAGAAACATCGATGAGTTGCCTCCTGCACACTCCCTACTGGGGATGTGCCCACAACCAAGGTACATGCCCTTGACCGGAACCGAACCTGGGACCCTTGAGTCCGCAG